TGAAGATGAGTTGTCAGTGTGACCTGCGCTTAACCCTTTCAGGGTCCGTCCCGTAGATGTACGGCTTTACGTTCAGGGTCCAAACCGTAGATCTACGCCATGAGCTCAGCTCACTCTGATAAACTGTGAGTGGTACATTTGGGCCTAGATATGAGAGAATACATCTATGTGGTATGTGTGCACCACATAAAACAGATCCTGCAACACACTGTGTATAATGAGAGAAAAAAAATGAAATCATGATTTTTCGATTAAAACAGCAACTTTGCAGTGTTTTTTCGTATGTTTTTTATAGTTGTATTTGCGATTTCATGGTCTCATTTGATAGAATGGAAGACATATTACAGAAATAGAGATGATTTTGATTGGTTTTAGCACAGAAAATGGCTTGAAACTGAGCTCAAAGTAGCGGAAATGTTAAATTTTTGCCGATATTCAAGAGTAAACAAACGACCTCACACATCTAATACACGTCAGCTGGTGGGTCTAATATACATTCACAAATATGGTGATGATATTTATACAATTATTACAGTATTGCATAACAGTAAATCTTCTATTTTTTGGTGTGAATAAAAATTCATTATGTGAATAAAAAATCAAAATGGAATTTATTTGTAAAGCCTCAAAACATAACTAATGAACAGAGAAAATGTTAGTTTAGTGCCAGGAATGCCTACATTGTTCATTCTGGACCCTATTTTGAAATTGGAATATTTTGAACTTTGTGTTAAATTGGCTAAATTAACAATTTCCGATCACTTTATTTTGTAGTTGAAACAGTTGACTTGGCGATTTCTTGTGCTCAATCGATAGAATAGAACTAATACTAGTGAAATAGCTAAGAATTTGGTTGATTGGAATAATGTAATTGGCCTAAAATGGGAGTCAAAGTCGGCAAAATCGCCGATTCGTAAATATCACTGACACATCAAAATTCGCGAGAGCATAATTTCGTCAATTTTCCACCAAATTTCGTACTTTTTGTTTTATTACCTTCACAAAAAGATTCTCTACGATTTCATAAGAAAAAATAACAAATTTTTTTTTTTGAAAATTCTTGGACACTGGTGCGTGACTCCAGATTTGGGCCTTGGACCCTGAAAGGGTTAAAAGAATATTAATATAGAATTATTTTTCTCCTCAAAAAACTAGTGTAACAATCCATTAGCTAGTAAGATAAATTAGTTAAGTATCTTAATTATTAAGTTCAACACAAAACTTATTCAGAAACCTAGTTGATACAGATTTTAACCTTTTATTAAATGACTTACGCGAATCAGACAGCAACTGTAATTATTATACAGCAGACCAAGCTAAGACATTACTCAGAGATATCAATAACATAACTATCTTTAATTACAATGTCAGATCCTTCAGCAAACATTACGATGACCTCACAGCATTACTCAATTCCCTTAATTCCAGTATCTCAATCATTACACAGAAACTTGGTTAAAGCCTGGCACTACAGATGTCAATGCCATTCCTGGATACATAGCTATACACATCTGTAGGACAGACCAGCAAGGGGGTGGAACAGCTATATACTCAAATCAGCTTGACTGTATCAGTAATTCTTGCACAAGGGATGAGCATGGTGAATATATTATAGCTAAATTTAAATCAAAAGACCTGCAAAAACCTCTCACAGTCATAAACATCTACAGAGTACCACATTCAAACATTTACCACTTTAGTGAAGAATTAGGGAATTAGATAACTGATGCACATATAAACAAAGACCACCTAATACTAACAGATGATTTCAACATAAATCTACTACATGACCAGGACCCACAAATAACTGAATTCACAAACACTATGAGCAACTGCTTGTTGCTACCAACAATGTCAAAACCTATAAGAATCTCCCAGAATAGTATCTCTTTATTGGACCACATCTGGACTAACACTGTATCTTTTTCAAAATCAGGCATAATCATAGACAACACCACAGACCACTACCCTACCTTTCTCATAACCAACCTAGGTAAAGTTACCTTCAGACTGCATAACAAAACAGCTGTAAATAACTTTATAGCAGCTATGAATAATGTCGACTGGCATAATGAGCTTGAAACATATACAGACACTAATGAATGTATTAATAATTTTATAAAAAGAACCCACTACCTCTAAACAAGCATTGCCCTAAACAAACTAAACAGCTCACAGCAAAGAGACTAAATAGTCCCTGGCTAACACCCACCATCCTCAAATCCATTAACACAAAGCACCAATATAAAAAACAGTACAGAATGGATCAAATAACTAGAGACCAGTCTAAACGTTACTCGTCAGCCCTTACCAGCCTGATAAGAAGGTCTAAAAAATTGTATTATGAAATCAGATTACAAAACATCAAAGGTGATATAAAAAAGACCTGGAAAACCCTATCTGAAATTCTAGGAACTAAAAGGATACCCAAAAACAATCAAATTAACAAAATCAGACGAACCTCTACTCCCATCAACTGAAACAGCAAGCAGACTCAGTATTTTCTTTTTCACTGTAGGAAAGAATCTAGCAAGCAAAATCTCAAGCTCAAACACCCGTCCATCAGACTACCTCACAGGCACCTACCCGCATACAGTATTCCTAGCTCCAGCCAACTCAACAGAGGTCTTGCTCATCATCAACACCCTTAAGAAGAAGGCAGGAGACATAAACAACTTGCCTATTTTTATGTACAAAAAAGCTTCACAAGTACTGTCACCAATTATTGCAACACTATTTAACAAATCCATTGAATCCTCCACCTTCCCAGCAGTTCTCAAAATAGCGAGAGTTACCCCGATCCACAAAGGAGGTGATCAAGCCGACTTGAATAACTATAGACCAATATCTACCTTAGCACAACTCTCTAAAATCTTTGAAAAATTAATTCATAGACGGATCTGTTCCTACCTCATCTCAAACAACATACTAAACCCCTGTCAGTTTGGATTCAGGAACAATAAAAGCACAAATGCTATTATACACATGCTAGAGCTAATACAGTATATACCGCTCTCGAGAAGGAAGAAGTCCCACTGGGAATTTTCATTGACTTACGTAAAACTTTTGATACAGTCGACCATGAATTGCTGCACACTAAATTAACACACTGTGGTATAAGAGGCCACTCCCTCAACTACCTAAAGTCATACCTTAGTAACAGAAGCCAATACGTGTATGCAAATGGTGCAAACTCTTCCACACAACCAATCACAGTAGGAGTCCCACAGGGAAGTGTCCTAGGACTACTACTCTTTCTCATCTACATCAATGACCTACCAAATGCATCACAGCTACTCAAACCCACATTATTTGCAGATGACACTACATACGTCTTCTCACACCCAAACCCAGCCATACTCACCAACACTGTCAATGCTGAATTGCAGAAAATATCTACCTGGATGATGACGAATAAGCTTAATCTAAATACTGACAAAACCTATTTCATGCAGTTTGGAACCAGAGCTGCAAATGTTCCACTTAATATAACACTAAATGGATCACCCATCACAAGACTCACAGAGGGAAAATTCCTTAGAATCCACCTAGATAGTAGCCTCAAATTCCAGACACACATACAACAAATTTCCAAGAAAATCTCTAAGACAGTAGGCATACTATCAGAGATATGGTACTATGTTCCATAATCAGCTCTCCTTGCCCTGTATCACTCACTCATCTACCCTTATCTCACATATGGAATTTGTGGATGGGGGTCAACAACATCAAATCACCTAAGGCCTCTACGGCTGCAATCAGAATGATGACAAATTCCCACTCGCGTCAGCCTTAACAGGACACACGACCATGACACAAGACAGATCTCATTTTGATGTACCCCATGCCCATATCACGTATCACACTGTGTAAAAACTCTGTGTACATTAAGGGCCCCAAAATCTGGAATTCATTACCAGAATATACTAAATTAACCAGGCCTGAAAATTAATTTAAGACTCTTCTAAAAAACCACTTTCTCGCCCAGGACTAAATAATCAACACTCAGTATTTAACATTAGCAATAATTCTCCCTGTTACTTAAATCTTAAAACTTCAAGACAGCATACAGTAAATTGATCATCTTGTTTGTTATACATTGTAATGCGACAAATTTGTACAATTACATATAATGCTTCGATTTCGAAATGTTCAAATTTCATTGTTTCAAATACTCAATTCATATTGTAAATTGTTTACTGTAATTTCTACCACTGAACCTTTCATTGCTTGTTAATTTTAAGTTAATTTTAAGCCTGCCCATAATGCATTGCTTACAAGGGGCTTTTGGCATGTACACCCAACTACTATAATTCCTTGTACAACTATGTATCATGTCCAAATAAACTATATGAATATGAATATGAATAATTATACCCTTGTCCTGTATACATAAAGTTGAAAAGAGAAACTTTCATTTTTCTCTTTGGACCACCCTGCCTTGGTGGGTTACGGCTGGTTTATTGAAAGAAAAGAAGAAGAATTTTAATGAACATAATGTTTGATTTGAGAGAATTCAGGCAGCTAGGTTTAATTCTTTAATAGTAGTAACTCTAGATAGATGAGAAGAGAGGTTTTGAAAAAGAACTAATTTTCTGCTAAAATTCTCATAATAAATTCACTCAAGATGCTGTGCCCAATAATTAGCCAAGACATTGGAATATGAGTAGCAATCCCTTTGCCTGCTTAATTATTCCCTAACACTTAATATTTTTCTTATCTCTGATTACTCATCTAAGGTGGTTTTAAAGCTGTCTCTTTTTAATTTTGTTTTTAACTTGAGGGCAGTAATATGCAGATTGGATAGTGCCTTTTAAAATGGTTACTTGGTACTTAGAAAAAAAGGTGTGTGTGTAAGGAAGGTATCCATCTAGATAATTTGATAACGATTTATGCTACAGCTTTTAAAATCCAGTACAATAAAGAAAAATTTCTTTATTGTACTTGATGATCCAGAATATCTAACTTTACAGTATAAACACTAAAGGATTCTTTTAAAGGGGCATAAGAAACTGATCTTCCTGGATGCACCTGCAAGATTGAATGATTACATTGAACCTGAGCAGCAGAAATTACCTGGAGCTACTACATCCTTAGATGAGGACCTGAAAGTCTTCAATAATGCTCTCAAATTGTCTCATAAGGATACCAAAGTTGCAATTAAGGTAAGATATACTCTGTCTCATATCAGTGAGTGAGTATCCATTAAAGAATTATTTACTAAAAGATTTGGTTTATTGCATCTCAAAGTTTATTTACAGCTTTGGACTTTTTTATTATTTTGATATTCTATTTTCAGGTTGGACCTTCAGCCATTCAAGTAACATCAGCTGAAAAAACAAAAGTACTCTCACACTCTGTTCTGCTCAATGATGTCTACTATGCTTCAGAAATTGAAGAGGTTAGTTGTTCAGATATTTTGGAGTGGACTTGTCAGCAGATGGGTCTATGAAAGACAAGGTGAACCATAGGATTAATGTGGAAAAAAAGGTGAGTGGTGCACTGAGAAGTCTGTGGAGACAAAGAACCTTATCTATGGAAGCAAAGAGAGGAATGTATGAAAGTATAGTGGTACCAACACTCTTATATGGGTGTGAGGCATGGGTGGTGAAGGTTGCAACAAGGAAAAAGCTGGAGGGAGTGGAGATGTCTTGTCTGAGGGCAATGTGTGGTGTGAATACTATGTAGAGAATCCATAGCTTGGAGATTGGAAGGAGGTGTGGGGTTTCTAAAAGCATTATCCAGAGGGCTGAGGAGGGTTTGTTGACATTTAGAGAGGATGGAACAAAATAGAATAACTTGGAGGGTGTATAACTCTGTAGTGGCAGGTATGTGGGGGAAGGGTTATACTAGGAAAGGTTGGAGGGATGAGGTAAAGGAGGTTTTGTGTGCGAGGGAGTTAGACTTCCTGCAAGCGTGCATGAACGTGTTAGACGGGTAAGTGGAGGCAAATGGTTTTTATGACTTGACTTGCTGTTGGAGCGTGAGCAAAGTAACATTTATGAAGGGATTCAGGGGAACCAGTTAGCCAGACTTGAGTCCTGGAGGTGGGAAGTACAGTGCCTGTGCTGTGTAGGGGGAGGGGGGTGGAGATATGTTGCAGTTTTTTAACTCTAGTTTTAGAATGCCTCTGACAAGACAGTAATGAAATGTGTGAAGATGAAAGTGTTTCTTCTTTTTTGGGCCACCCTGCCTTTGTGGGAAATGCCCAATGTGTTAATAAAAAAGAAATACATGCATGTAATGATAGACCTATAGCACTAACGTCCCACATCATAAAATTCTTTGAAAGGGTTCTAAGAAGCAAGATCGCCAACCACTTGGATACCCAACAGTTGCATAACGCAGGGTAGCATGGATTTAAAGCAGATCACTCCTGCCTCTCACTACTACTGGACCACTGTGACATGGTCTTGGATGCACTAGAGACCAAACAATGCAAATGTAGTATACACTGACTTTGTGAAAGCCTTTGACATGTGTAATTGTAGTGTAATAGCACACAAAATGCATGATAAAGGAATAATGGAAGAAGTGGGTAGATGGGTCTTTAACTTTCTAACTAGTAGAACACAAAAAGTAATAGTAAATGGCTGGTGACAGTAAAATAAACCCTTGATTTAATGGTCTTTAATTCAGCGAGCTTTGGGAATATCAGATAAAATGTCAATTGATTTAGAAATGATAGGTAATACAGTGGTTGCATACGAGTCTGCTGTCATTAAGATTGTGGCAAAACTATCTTTTCTCTATCCACCACAGTCAGAATTAGCAGCCACCTGCTTTTCTTTGGTAGTCCCTTATATCGATGGTTTACAGTATTTGTGATGCCTTCTGATGTAGTATATTTATTGGTATTTTGGCCTGATTACCTCTTTTATTTTTGTGTGATTTTATTATGGAATCTACCCCTAGGGCAGCGATTGGTGAAATTTGCATGGAATTCAGGTAACTGCCAGTAAATTTTATTGAATGCCATAATAATTATAATCTTACTCAGAGGCTAACAACACATCAAGCTATGTAAACTACTGCACTTGTCTCCACTCCCATCAATCTAACATGCTCACAGAAGTCTGCTAAATGCTCAAGTCCATAACACTCAAAACAACCTTTCCTTCTCCCTCTAGCCCAGCAGTGGGCAAACTACAGCCCGTGCCGCATGTGGCCCGCCAAAGGTTTTCATGCGGCCCGGCAAGATCGAGTCATGTACTCTCTTTATTTGGGGACAAAATGTTAGTAAATTTGAAAAAAAAGTTGCCACACAATGCCAAATAATATTGTGGAACATTAACACGTTACCCGCAAATGGCTGTGAATTTCTGAATGTGGCCCCTGCATTGAAAAGTTTGCCTACCCCTGCTCTGACCTATCCTGGGATGGCTTCAATGCCTCTTGCCAACCCAGACTTATACACCTTCTTGGTCATATTATTTTGCTCCATCTTCTCTGAATGTGAAAACTACCTTAACAACTCTTCCTCATTCCTCTGAATTATATCTTTAGTGCCTTACACTGTCTTAATTTCCATGCCGAATTCTCTGTTCTTTTGTATTACACAGATGTAAAGTATTTTATAAAAAAATTTATTACTAAGGCCTTGTACATTATATACAACTAATGTTATTAAGTAATGACATTTTTTAACATAACTAATATATAAAATGTTTTCAGGTGTGTTTAGTTGATGATAACCAGTTTACCTTGACTATTGCCAATGAATCTGGTCCTCTGTCATTCATCCACAATGACTGTGACAACATTGTGCAGGCCATCATCCATATTAGAGCCAGATGGGAACTCTCTCAACCAGTAAGTATATACTAGTTACAAGTAAAGAGTAACCAGAAGAAATAGATTGCTGTATAGTGTGGAAGATTAACCCTAATTAAGGTTCTGATTGTATTACAGTATTGGCATACAGTTTCAGCTATGGGGCATTGGAGACTCCCACCGAGGCAGGGTGACCCAAAAAGAAAGAAAATCCCCAAAAAGAAAATACTTTCATCATCATTCAACACTTTCACCTCACACATAATCACTGTTTTTGCAAAGGTGCTCAGAATATAACAGTTTAGAAGCATATACATATAAAGATACACAACATGTCCCTCCAAACTGCCAATATCCCAAACCCATCCTTTAAAGTGCAGGCATTGTACTCTCCATTTCCAGGACTCAAGTCTGGCTATATAAAAATAACTGGGTTCCCTGAATCACTTCACTAAATATTACCCCTGCTCACACTCCAACAGCTTGTCAGGTCCAAATACCATTCGTCTCCATTCACTCCTATCTAACACGCTCACGCACGCTTGCTGGAAGTCCAAGCCCCTCACCCACAAAGCCTCCTTTACCCCCTCCCTCCAAACTTTTTGAGGATGACCCCTACCCCGCCTTCCTTCCCCTACAGTTTTATAAGCTCTCCATGTCATTCTACTTTGATTCATTCTCTCTAAATGACCAAACCACCTCAACAACCCCTCTTCATCTTTTAGGAGTGAAGAAGAGTAGGATGTGAGTGTGGGAGAGGTGTGTGAGGCATTACATAGAATGAAAGGGGGTAAAGCAGCTGGAACTGATGGGATCATGACAGAAATGTTAAAAGCAGGGGGGGATATAGTGTTAGAGTGGTTGATGTTTTTATTTAGTAAATGTATGAAAGAGGGGAAGGTACTTAGGGATTGGCAGAGAGCATGTATAGTTCCTTTATATAAAGGGAAGGGGGACAAAAGAGATTGTAAAAATTATACAGGAATTAGTTTACTGAGTATATCAGGAAAAGTGTATGGTAGGGTTATTATTGAAAGAATTAGAGGTAAGACAGAATGTAGGATTGCGGATGAGCAAGGAGGTTTTAGAGTGGGTAAGGGATGTGTAGATCAAGTATTTACATTGAAGCATATATGTGAACAGTATTTAGATAAGGGTAGGGAAGTTTTTCATTGCATTTATGGATTTAGAAAAGGCATATGATAGTGGATAAGGGAGCAGTATGGCAGATGTTGCAAGTACGTATATGGAATAGGTAGTAAGTTACTAAATGCTGTAAAGAGTTTTTATGAGGATAGTGAGGCTCAGGTTAGGGTGTGTAGAAGAGAGGGAGACTACTTCCCAGTAAAAGTAGGTCTTAGATAGGGATGTGTAATGTCACCATGGTTGTTTAATATATTTATAGTTTGGGTTGTAAAAGAAGTAAATGCTAGGGTGTTCGGGAGAGGGGTGGGATTAAATTATGGGGAATCAAATACAAAATGGGAATTGACATAGTTACTTTTTCTTGATGATACTGTGCTTATGGGAGATTCTAAAGTTGCAAAGGTTAGTGGACAAGTTTGGGAGAGTGTGTAAAGGTAGAAATTGAAAGTGAATGTAGAAAAGAGTAAGGTGATGAGCGTATCAAATGATTTAGATAAAGAAAAATTGGATGTCAAATTGGGGAGGAGGAGTATGGAAGAAGTAAATGTTTTCAGATATTTGAGAATTGACGTGTCAGTGGATGGATTTATAAAGGATGAGGTTAATCATAGAATTGATGAAGGAAAAAAGTGAGTGGTGCATTGAGGTATATGTGGAGAGAGAAAAAATGTTATCTATAGAGGCAAAGAAGGAAATATGTGAAAGTATAGTGGTACCAACACTCTTATATGGGTGTGAAGCTTGGGTTGTAAATGCTGCAGCGAGGAGGCGGTTGGAGGCAGTGGAGATGTCCTGTCTAAGGGCAATATGTGGTGCAAATATTATGCAGAAAATGTGGAGTGTGGAAATTAGGAGAAGATGTGGAGTTAATAAAAGCATGGGTTATGTTCCTAAAAATTTACATGTATTAGTTATTATGCACTGGCTTTTATCTCTCTTTTTTTTTTTTCTTGATTGGCTTTTGGGATCACCGCTGCTTGCTACTTTTGAGTTTCATAGGTCGTCTACTTCATTGTGGATGCTCTGTGACTTGGTCATCTGTTATCTTATGTTCAGTTACAGTCTCCATCAGTCTGTTTTATCACTGCTGTTCCACATGTGCATGAAGCATCAGACCTGCTGTCCACCAGTTTCCAGAAATGACTTTGGCTGTCGGATGGGGCGGCATCGAATGCTGTGTTTGCTAGGGCATTTGAAGGTATCTTGTCTTTAAGGACAAGATTGGGCACAGTTTTATACAATGTTCAGTCTCCACAAAATATCCTTTCCCATGGAACACAGTTTTTTTTCCCTCCAGTCAAGTGCCAAACATTTTTTTATTTGTTGCCAACCATCTTGAGATATTCATGTATCTGGCATTCACTGACTCAAATAAACATGAGACAGACATGCAGAGATCTCATTAACCCACAGGGGAGGTGTTATCACACATGCCATTCACCTCTTCTTTCCCTGCACAAGTGTGTACTTTTGTTTCTGTCTGCAGCTGTTCATGTCAATCACACTGGATCAGGAGATGCTCTGTAGGGAAGAGAAGATATGTGTCATGACACTCCTGGATGAGGAGGTATCTGTTAAGGATATTGAAGAGGAGTAGAGATGCACCCCACAATCTGTTCAAAATCTTAATGGAGCTGCAGGCAACCTGCCTCATGGCACTGTTTTCCATAGAAAGAAAGGGTCTGGAAGGCCCCAGAATACCACCCCATATACTGATGCTCTTACAAGGAGGAAGGCTATGCCAAACCTTACAATTACTGCACAGCAATTAAAGAATAAGTATCCTGCAAAAGGATCTCAGGGTGCTGTGTTGGAGGACTACAAGTAAAGCTCTTATGAAAGAGAGCATTTGCAAATCTTGGCTTGTTTTTGTGCCGAGCACAAGGACATGTGGCAAAACATTAAGTTTAGTGGAATTGACTCTGTGTGTCATCAGGAATGTTTCCAAGCAGGTTTGTCATCCAAGTGGCTCTCCAAGTCTTGACCTCAGCTTCACAATCAAGTTAGTCAAACACCCTGCCAGTGTCATGGTTTTTGCATGTTTTGGTGGTAATAATGGCCATGGTGGTCTTTATTTCTTTCCTAAGGCCTAGGTAATGAATAGAGAGAAATATTTACAAGTTCCTGATGATAAAACTTCTCTTTCTCTACCATGTTCATGACACCAACTCCTTAATCCTTAAACTGTCCAAACATAGATCTACTTTTTTTCAACATTTGAAAGTATGTAAAAAAAGTAGATCTTTTTTCTCTTTTTACATTTGAAAACGTGTAAAAAAAACTTTGATCTACATTTTTTTTGTTATATTTGAAAATACGCATGTAAAAAAAACGTAGATCTACTTTTGGAGCACTACGTATGTGAACATAGATCTGCTTGGGCAGTTTAAGGGTTAATATATGATGGGGCCCCCTGCCACCACAGCAAGGTCAAGGATTGCTTCAGACAGCATGAAATCCCAGTTTGAGGGTGGCCAGATAACTAGGATCTCAGTCTGATCAAAAATACTTGGCAGCTGTTAAAATCCAAGGTGGCAAAGCACCAAATCTTCAGCATGCCAGAGTTAGTGGAGATATGGAAAATTTATGAATTTATATAGTTCTGACTTATTTGCATAAACTAAGTGATTCTTTGCCATAAAGGATTACCATATTTAATGGCATTGAAGATGCTATTTTTTTCCCAAAAATAAGTCTCAAAAATTTACCCAGCATCTTGGAGGCCAAGGTTACATAAGAATATAAGAAAGGAGTAGCACTGCAGCAGGTCTGCTGGCCCATGCTAGGCAGGTCCAAGTCACACCCTCATTGCTCAGAGGCCTCAGACTAAGCCTAGAGAAGTTTTTTGATACTAACAGTAATCTAAGTTCTTGTATATTATCCAATAATGAATCTTGTAAACTATTTTTTATAAAATAATGAATAAATAAAAATTGTAAAAATTCATTGGCGCTTAGCAGCGGTAGGCTAATTCTCCTATTTACCATCAAACCACCTGGTAATAATATTTTTACTCACCTCAAACGATCCTGATATTAAAGGAACTACTATTTTTTTTTTAACACACTGACTGTCTCTCACCGACAAAGGGTGACCCAAAAAAGATATACTGGAACCATCACTGAACACTTTCATCATCATTCACAAAATATTACTGTCTTTGCAGAGGAGCCCAGATATGACAGTTTAGATGTCACTCCAAACAGCCAATATCCCAAATCCCTCCTTTAAAGTGCAGACATTGTACTACTTCTCACCTCCAGGACTCAAGTCCGGCTGACTGGTTTCCCTGAATCCCTTTACAAAATATTGCCCTGCTCACACTCCAATAGCTTATCAGGCCCCAAAAACCATTCATCTCCTTTCACTCATATCTAAGATGCTCACACATGCCTGTTGCATGTCCAGGCCCCTTGCACACAAAACCTAGAATGACCCCTACCCCTCTTCCCCTCCTCTACAGATTTATACACCCTCCAAGTCAATTGACTGTGCTCCATCCTCTCTAAATGACCATACCACCTCAACCCCTCTTGAGCCCTCTGAATAATACTTTTAGTAACTCTACACCTCCTAATTTCTGCACTGCGAATTTTCTGCACATTTACACCACACATTGCCCATAGACACAACATTTCCACGGCCTCTAGCTTCCTACTCACTGCAGCATTCACAACCCATGTCTCACACCCATATAAGAGTGTTGGTACCACCATACTTTCATACATTTCCTTCTTTGCTTCCATGGATAATGTTTTGTTTTTTTTCTCCACAGATACCTCAACTCACCACTCACCTGTTTTCCTTCATATCTATGGTTAACCTCGTCCTTCATAAACCCATCTGTTGGCAAATCTACTCTCAAATATCTGAATACATTTACTTCATTCATTCTCCATCCCTCCAATGTGATATCCAATTTTTCTTTACCTAATTTGTTTGATACCATCATCAGCTTACTCTTATCTATGTTCACTTTCAACTTTCTTTACACACCCTCCCAAATTCGTCCACTAACCTTTGCAACTTCTCTTTAGAATCACCCAAAAGCATAGTATCATCAGCAAAAAGTAACTGTCAATGCTAAGGGAGCTTTATCAGATACAAAAATCAAAAGAAAAATTGCAGTATGTGGTAACTATATACAAAAGCCGCCATTTGCACACCGTAGGTTTGTTTTGGTTGTGTTCCAGTGCAAATGTACTGTTATTAAATAGTAGAATCAGTAAACTTAAAAACTTTTTTTTTTTTTAACAAGTTGACCATCTCCCACCGAGGCAGGGTGACCCAAAAAGAAAGAAAATCCCTAAAAAGAAAATACTTTCATCATCATTCAACACTTTCACCTCACTCACACATAATCACTGTTTTTGCAGAGGTGCTCAGAATACTACAGTTTAGAAGCATATACGGATAAAGATACACAACATATCCCTCCAAACTGCCAATATCCCAAATCCCTCATTTAAAGTTCAGGCATTGTACTTCCCATTTCCAGGACTCAAGTCCGGCTATATAAAAATAACTGGTTTTCCTGAATCCCTTCACTAAATATTACCCTGCTCACACTCCAACAGCTCATCAGGTCCCAAATACCATTCATCTCCATTCACTCCTATCTAGCATGCTCACACATGCTTGCTGTAAGTCAAAGCCCCTCGCCCACAAAACCTCCTTCACCCCCTCCCTCCAACCTTTTTGAGAACAACCCCTACCCTGCCTTCCTTCCCCTACAGATTTATTTGCTCCCCATGTCATTTTACCTTCATCCATTCTCTCTAAATGACCAAACCATCTCAACAACCCCTCTTCAGCCTTCTGACTAATACTTTTATTAAATCCACTCCTTCTCCTAATTTCCACACTCCGAATTTTCTGCATAATATTTACACCACACTTTGGCACTGTCTACAACTGTCTCCTCGCTGCAGCATTTACAACCCAAGCTTCACACCCATATAAGAGTGTTGGTACCACTATACTTTCATACATTTCCCTGTCTGCCTCCATAGATAACATTTTTTGTTTCCACACATACCTCAACGCACCAATCGTAAATTTCGTTTATAGTAGCTCCTCCAGGAACGGATTAATTACGAAAAACGAGGGACCACTGTAAGTGTAAAACGAAAGCCTGTAATTGTTTTACATGATGGTAGGATTGCTGGTGTCCTTTTTTCTGTCTCATGAACATGCAAGATTTCAGGTACGTCTTGCTACTTCTTCTTACACTTAGGTAACACTACACATACATGTACAAGCATATATATACATACCCCTCTGGGTTTTCTTCTAATTTGTTTCTAGTTCTTGTCTTGTTTATTTTATCTTATCTCCATGGGGAAGTGGAACAGAATTCTTCCTCCGTAAGCCATGCGTGTCGTAAGAAGCGACTAATATGCCGGGAGCAAGGGGCTAGTGACCCCTTCTCCTGTATAAATTACTAAATTTTTGGGCCACCCTGCCTTGGTGGGATACGGCCGGTTTGTTGAAAGAAGAAGAATAATTATACTTATGTATACCTGTACCTAAATAAACTTACACACTGTGCTGGCGTGCAGGGTTAAAATCAGTAAGAGTGTCTTATGTCTCGAGACACCATATTAGTAATAATAATAATAACAATAATAATAATCGCCAAGTTTCATTAAATGTCGTATATTATGTTAATATGCATATTTTCATTTATCCAGCTATGATATTTTTTCAGAATTATATAATAAACATGATACATAACATATAAAGATGATAAATACACCCCACAGTAGAATAAATAAACATAAATATGAGATGTGGTAGCCAGACAACTTGTACAAGTGACGGCAAGAATAATATTTTCTCTAGTCCAACATAAAAGAAAATGTGTTACTAACTATAGAAAATTATTCCCTTCGTATGGAAGTAAGTTTTTTCAGGTATACACAAATACAGTTACGTAGATTATCATAAATAGCAGCATATATGAAAAGTACCTAGGATAACCCAAAAAAGTCAGACAGAGTGACTTATTTCAATTGCCTTCACTCAGAGTGTCATTTCTTCTAAAAATGGTGTTGCGTGAGAATGGGAGTGTTGCTCTTTATTTATTCTACTGTATCAATATAGAGACAACATGTACACAATGTAACTTGTATGCAAACCAGACGTGTACACCTGGTTTGTTTACAAAACTGGCGTTCGCCTGGTTTGTTAACATAACTCTGTACCTGTCCTCCCTCATGTGCTCGTTCTCTCTCTCATTTATTCGTTTTATCTCATTTACTCACCTCTGACCCTACATTAAGACTACAAATATTTTAAGGTAAGTAATGAGTGAACTGTATATGCATTTTATCACTCTGGGATGCTTAAATGTCATAGAATATTGTGCGAGTGGAATGGCCTGGTATGGTAGCCTGGCTGGCTACCATACATATCACACTTGATTTCTTACAATAAATACTACTCATCTCACCCTAGTTTAAGACTACAAATATTTTAAGGTAAGTAATGAGTGTACTATATGTGTATTTTACTTTTTTATTGTTTTTTAATGCCTAGTTCTATTGCTAACTTAATATATGATTATGTAAACTTGTTATCTAGTATTTATATACATTTATAGGTGGAAAAAAAGGGTGTTCCACTTCACGGTGATTTCCGCTTTACAGCGGTAGCCTGGAACCTAATCTGCCGTGTAAGTGGGGCCCTACTGTACTGGACACTACTGTATAAACATTTAAAAATATACCAGAAATGTTATAAATGGTGCAAAGGTGACTCTGACCAGAATTTATACCTAGATAATATATATTAGAGCTGATTTCCTCTATTCTATTTATTTCAGTATACAGTACTGTATAAACATTTAAAAATATACCAGAAATGTTATAAATGGTGCAAAGGTGACATTAAAACAATATCAAAGATGGTTGACACAAACTCACTACCATTATAGTATGCTTCTCACTTAGCCCACGTAACGACGTGGGCTTAGAAACGGAACTCCGTCGTTAAGTGAGGAGAGGCTGTACTCACTAGAGTAGAGGAGAGATACCTGATAATATATACCTGGAAAGTACTTGATTGTCTTGTTCCAAATCTGCACACTTCCATAACAATGTTCTTAAGTGAGAGATGTGGAAAGTGCAAAAGAAACCCAGTGAAAACTATTGGCGTAATAAGGGAAGACTGTCAACGTCCATGGTTTCAGACTATTCAACGTCTTTCCAGAAGATATCAGAAACTGCTGGGAAAAGTGTGGAAGTCTTCAAGAGGAAACTAGACAAGTATCTTCATCAGGTGCCAGACCAACCAGGTTGTGATGGGTATGTGGGTCAGTGGGCCACAGCAGCAACAGCATAGTTGACCAGCCAAACACCAGACAAGCTTGGCCTACTTCTGTGCTCTGGGAATAGAAAAACTCTTGGAGAACTCATCAAAGATACAAGATACAAAGATGGATGCAGACATCAGGAGACTGCGTACGTTATATGTAGGCTGATGTGAGGTCCCAGACTCATTCATAATGAGTTATGGGTAAACATTGAGACCATATACTCAGTTGATGAAAAGACTGGTTTGAATTGTGTCCTTCAGACATCTTTATTTATCATCTTGCTGAATGGATGAGTTTCAAACTCTATGGTAAACCAGTCGCAAAACTAGCAGGCCAGTATGCAAACCATTGTGCCCTGCCAGCTTAATATGATTCGCCAAACTAGGTAGATTACTGTATACACTAAGAAGGTTAGCATGGTCCCCACTGTGACCACAAATGCAAGTTTTTACTGATAAATCTCACACCATCATGGTTGCGGCAAGTTTCTGCTCAAGTCTCTTCACAGCGATTGCAAATGACTTGTAAAATCATAGTAACTCTCTTGTAAACAGCTCACAAAATGGATAGGGTCAAATCCATGGTAAGCCAGTCCTGACTTGCCAGTTGTAAGATTGGCTTGCTATGGGTTTGACTCACCCCCCCCCCCCCGGGCCCCCAATCCTCTGTTCTGTAAATTGCTTACAATTGTGTTGTTATTCCATCAGTTTGTTGTATATATTGCTTATGCCAGAGGGTTTTCTGCCTTTGCAAATTGTAGTCACTCTAGCTATTTTGAGGGTGTATGGGAAAAGTTTTTAGTTAATTGATTTATTAAAAAGTATGATAATTATTGCTCTGCTTTCTAAAAAAGTGTATGACTGCCAATATTTCAACTTGTATGGACTGATGAAGCCACTGTGTGGCGAAACATTTCCTCAATAAAGGTACCCAAGAGTTGCACATGTGTCTAATTTATCAACATGTCGGTTCTCTGAACCATTCATCTTCATTTTTTCTGTATGTTGTAATGATTTTATTATGGAGTCTTCTTAGCCAGAGGTGGGTGATAAATACAAGGAATTAAGGTAGTTGCTAGTAAGAAATATATTAATATTCAAGCTGCCTGGAGCCTGCAAGCACAGCTGGTGCCTACACACTACCATTATGACAGTGAAGAACAGTCAAAGGCATTAGAGGCTGAACAATAGTGTGCAGTAAACCATACTGAAGTAATGAGCCACATGTTTTGGGTACAGAATAGATGTGTGCATATTCAGAATAAATGTGTGCATATTCAGAATAAATGTGTGCATATTCTAGGTGGGGTACCCCTGGGTCCTTTATGCAGAAATGTACCTTTTATTTGGGTGAAAATAAAAGTTTTGCAGCATGGGTGAATAATTTGAAAAATAAGATTTATTAAAATATAAACTCTCACTTGTTCTATCATTTCTCTAAATAAATCTAATTTCATGTATTTTCTCTCCATTACTTAAAGGATTCAGTAACAGTGCATCAAAAAATCCGGCCAAAAGATGTTCCAGGCACGTTACTAAATATGGCTCTCTTGAATTTGGGTTCTCTTGACCCTAATCTGAGAACAGCAGCCTACAACCTTCTGTGTGCCCTCACTGCTACCTTTGACCTCAAAATTGAAGGACAGTTGCTGGAAACATCTGGTGAGTGAGCAACAATCTACCAGTCTGAAAGCATCTTTTTTTTTATATTTCTTTTAAGGTGTTTTAGTTGTCATGCATACTTCATCCACCCTGTTTGTAATGGGAAAGTAGATATGGATAGATATATACAGAATTATACATTTCTCCTTATTGCTTTATTTTCAATTTTTATCTTTAGTTTTGCTGGCATGCTACTTAGAACCAACGTTAAAGTAACCAAGTCAGTCAAGTATAAACATTTTCCTAAATATAAAAGTGAACCATATAAATCCTTTTCTGTGTGCTGTAGTCCTGATATATGTGTGGAGAGTCCTCCCTCAATACAAACCTGTCAAACATTCTTCATGTGTGCTACAACTCAATTACTCCCATGTACTATTTTTAATATGTTTTATACTGTTCTCTCAACTTACCCATAATATCTCGATAAAGTATTTTATGCCATTTAATACTTAGTTAACCAATGCCCTCCTCACATTGCCTATGTTTTTCAAACTTTTACATACATCATGCTGTCATGTATGTTTAAACTTTGTATCTGCTTCTCAGAAAGTCCATCTAAGCTGTTGTATGCTCTTGTTATAATTTTTACGGATTTATGTTTCTGTTTTCAAACTTATTTTATCCCTATTAAGGCCTATATTTTAATATACTGTGTTCTGATGTCGATTATTCCTTAAAATAGAAAAAGCTATTTCTCATGGTGTACCTTTCTTGCAAGCAAAGAATAATCTCATATTTTTTTATTCCCAGTTTGGAATTAAGATACTTTTGCGAATATAGAAGAAGAATGACACTAGGTATACAATCTTTATAACCAAAAAAAGTTTACCCTACAAGCTTTCTCAGGTCTCTGTTAAGAATACCAAAGATCATATATTACAATGCTCTGAAGTCAGAAAACTCTACATTCTGTGAAGGGTTCAGTGAAGTACAGCAAACCTTCATGTTATATGACTTTGTTTTACATGATTGTCATTATACAATCTTTCAAACTGTAGCTCAAAAAATAAATATAGTAGTCTACTTTAACTAAAAAAAAATGTGACACAGGATTATGTGCAGTAAATCTTAAAACAGTGCATAAAATTTGGTAATGTGTTGGAGATTTTTTCAATCTGCCTGCCATATTGCCAAGTGATCATAAGCAGTAGCCTGGGGTTACCCACCTACCACCATTTTTTGGTGAATTAGATAGCTAGAGAATGTGTCATTTGTCTGTCAAGTTCACTAGATCCCGTCCCTCCTATTTCAGCTAATATTTCTCCATTTGATTGTAAATTTCATAGAAGCTCTGTATCAAAACGGTTAAGAGGAGAAAGTTCAGTGTGCATTAACCCTTTCAGGGTTTCGGCCGTACAAGTACGGCTTACACACCAGGGTTTTTGACGTACTAGTACGCCTAAATTCTAGTGCCTTCAAATCTAGTGAGAGAAAGCTGGTAGGCCTACATATGAAAGAATGGGTCTATGTGGTCAGTGTGCGCAGTATAAAAAAAATCCTGCAGCACACAGTGTGTAATGAGAAAAAAAAAACTTGACCGTGTTTTTGGATTAAAACAGCAACTTTGCACTGTATTTTCGTATGGTATTTATTGTTGTATTCTAGTTTTCCTGGTCTCATTCTATAGAATGGAAGACATATTACAGAAATTGAGTTAATTTTTACTGATTTTACAATGAAAAGTACCTTGAAATTGAGCTCAAAGTAGCAGAAATGTTCGATTTTTACCGAAGTTCAAAAGTAAACACATCATGCTAAGCGTCCAATACACGTCAACTGGTGAGTCTAATATTCTTTCACAAGTGCGCCGATATTATTTATACCATTTTTTACACTAATGCAGTAGTCTGCATAACAGTAAATCTTCTATTTTTTGTGAGAATAAAAATTCAAAGTGGAAAGCAAAAGAATGTAAGAGGGGCATTGGGACGTGACTAATGAACAGAGGAAATGTCATTTTAGTGCCAGGAATGTATTTCTTGTTTATTCTGGACCCTATTTGGAAATTGGCATCTTTTGAAACTTGTGTGAAAATGGCAAAATTGCTAAATTCTGACCACTGTATTGGATAGTTGAAATCGGTAAATGGGTGGTTTCTTGCACTCATTTGATAGAAAAAATGGAGTTCTAGCGAAATATTCATGATTTTTGTCGACTAGTACAGTGGAATTGGCCGAAAATAGGGCTCAAAGTGGGCAAAATCGCCGATGTATAACATCGTCGAGACGGCTAACTTCGCGAGAGCATAATTCCATAAGTTTTCCATCAAATTTCATACTTTTGGTGTCATTATGATCGGGAAAAGATTCTCTATTTTTTCACAAGATTTTTTTTTTTTTTTTTTTTTTTTTTTTTTTTTTTTTTTTTTTTTTTTTTTTTTTTTTTTTTTTTTTTTTTTTTTTTTTTTTTTTTAAATTTTGGCAACCCTGAGAACAAGTCTCCGAGAGGCCTGTTGACCCTGAATGGGTTAAAACCAAGCCTCCACTAAAAGTGTACAGTGTCATATGTTACACTGTAATTACACATTCTTTAGCCTTCTTTTGTGATGTGTCTACTTATGCTATATTTCTACAACTGTTGCACATCTTAGTAACTGATAATAAAAAATGAAAAAGTATGATTAACCCTTTGACTGTTTTGGTCGTATATATACGTCTTACGAGGTACCGTGTTTGACATATATATACTCATAAATTCTAGTGGTTTCAAATAAAGCAGGAGAAAGCTGGTAGGCCCACATGTGAGAAAATGGGTCTGTGTGGTTAGTGTGCACTATATAAAAAAATCCTGGAGCACGCAGTGCATAATGAGAAAAAAAAACTGACCGTTTTTTTTAATTAAAACGCCAACTTTGTGGTCTATTTTCGTATAGTATTTATGGTTGTATTCTTGTTTTCTTGGTCTCATTTGATAGAATGGAAAACATATTATAGAAATAGAGGTGATTTTGATTGATTTTACTATAAAAAGAACCTGAAAATGGAGCTCAAACTAGGGGAAATGTTTGATTTTTGCAGATATTCAAAAGTAAACAAATGATGTCATTGTCCAATAAATGTCCAACTAGCCATTCTAATATGCAGTCATCAATGGGTTGACATTATTTGTACAATTATTACAGTATTGCAGTAGTCTGCATAACAGTAAATCTTCTATTTTTTGTTTGAATAAAAATTCAAAATAGAAAGCAAGAGTAATATCAGAGGGGCCTGGAGACGTGACTGATGAATAAAGAAAATGTTATTTTAAAGCCAGGAATATTTGCATTGTTCATTCTGGACCTTATTTTGAAATTGTCATATTTTTTAATTTTTGTGAAATTGGCCAAATTACAAATTTCTGACGATGTTATTGGGTAGTTGAAATCGATAAATGGGCAGTTTCTTTTACTCAGTCAATAGAAAAAATGGAGTTCTAAAGAAATAGCTATGAGTTTGGTTGACTGGAACAATGGAATTATCCGAAAATAGGGCTCAAAGTTGGCAAAATCACCGATTTTTAAATATCTCCGATGTCGCTAACTTCGCGCGAGCATAATTCCGTCAGTTTTCCATCAAATTTAATTTTTCTGGTGTCATTACAATCGGGAAAAGATTCCCTATAATTTCATGATATTTTTTTTTTTTTTTTTTTTCTTTTTTTAAATTTTGCGACACCAGGAGACACCTCAGGATTGGGGGTTGTGACAGTCAAGTGGTTAAGTGAGAAAGTTGTGTGGTGGGGATTCTGGGTGATCAACTGACTGGTGCCATGGCACCAGTCAGTTGATCACCCAGCACATTGGCATTTTTAATGCCTGTGCTTTGATAGGTCAGGCAAAGTAAGGTATACCCTTTATGGATTTTAGGTCTTTCCAATATTTAACTAAATATTACGGGCAATGAAGGTTCTCGGTACATTCTGCACATTGAATATTTTGCATGCCTTTAACCCTTTCTGGATTTCGGCCGTACTAGTACGGCTTACGTGCCAGGGTTTTTGACATACTAGTATGCCTAAATTCTAGCGCTCTCAAATTTAGTGAGAGAAAGCTCGTAGGCCTACATATGAAAGAATGGGTTTTTGTGGTCAGTGTGCACAGTATAAAAAAAAATCCTGCGGCACACAGTGCGTAATGAGAAAAAAAAAACTGACCGTGTTTTTGGTTTAAAACAGCGACTTTGCACTGTATTTTCGTATGGTATTTATGGCTGTATTCTAGTTTTCCTGGTCTCATTTTATAGAATGGAAGACATATTACAGAAATTGAGATGATTTTGATTGGTTTCACAATGAAAAGTACCTTGAAATTGAGCTCAAAGTAGCAGAAATGTTCGATTTTTGCCAAAGTTCAAAATAAACAAATCATGCCACGCGTCCAATACACGTCAACTGGTGAATCTAATATTCTTTCACAGGTGTGCTGGTATTATTTATACCATTTCTACACTAATACAGTAGTCTGCATAACAGTAAATCTTCTATTTTTTGTGAGAATAAAAATTCAAAGTGGAAAGCAAAAGAAATGTAAGAGGGGCATGGGGATGTGACTAATGAACAGAGGAAATTTTATTTTAGTTCCAGGAATGTCTTTCTTGTTTATTCTGGACCTTATTTTGAAATTGGCATCTTTTGAAATTTGTGTGGAATTGGCAAAATTGCTAAATTCTGACCACTTTATTGGATAGTTGAAATTGGTAAATGGGTGGTTTCTTGTACTCATTCGATAGGAAAAACAGAGTTCTAGCGAAATAGTTATGATTTTTGTTGAGTAGTACACTGGAATTGGCCAAAAATAGGGCTCAAAGTGGGCAAAATCACCGATGCATAAACACCGTCGAGACCGCTAACTTCGCGAGAGCATAATTCCGTAAGTTTTCCATCAAACTTCATACTTTTGGTGTCATTATGATCGGGAAAAGATTCTCTATCTTTTCCTATGATTTTTTTTTTTTTTTTTTTTTTTTTTTTTTTTTTTTTTTTTTTTTTTTTTTTTTTTTTTTTTTTTTTTTTTACTT